TTCGCCAAAAGAGGTCTTTGAAGTCGTCCTGGAAAATGCTATTATTAAAACATTTGATATAAATAAAAAAAAATTGTTTAAAAATTATGTTTGAAAAAATTAAAGTATTTGATTTATAAAATGACTCATTCTCGATAATTTTTACCCACTTGAATTATCCAAGTGAAAATAAGATAAAATATAAGCTGCAAAGTTTCAATCGTGTTTACATATCAAGTGACCATTTTATTATTTCGGTAAAAAAAACAATGATAGTTTTGCAGGTCGAAGTAAGTTGGACGGTTGTGTATTTACTTGCATTCTGTTTCATAGTTGTTTATGAAGAATATTACTTTAAAACAAAGAAAATTTAAGCATTTAATTTCATTTAAATTTTTTTGAAAACACCAATTTGTACTGAAATCGTCAATTCCAAGTGACTGCTTACTGTATTAAAAAAGTAAGCATGAAAAAATAGTTTCATGTGGCGATGTGACAACTCACTGCATGTTGTTTTATTAGACAACTCACTGCTCGAATATGAAGGGATTGCATTGTCATCCTCTAGCCTACAATTATGATTTTATCTGACAACCACGTCCGTGACTACATCACAGGCACACAAAGTCACGGGTACTCAAGATTGCATGAAATGAATAACACAAAATAAAATAACTACATTTATAACTGCACATTTATTAGTTCATGACTTTCTTTATTGAATTGCAATGAGTTAATGAATGTTCTGGATTAATAAATGGATTAATGTATGTTGAATTATGTGAATACCTAAAACACATAAAACAGAACAGGTAGCTCGGTGAAAAGCTTCCCTTAACTGGGGTTCGTTAAATAGGGATCCTGTACGTAAAGAATGTCAATCTCCATCAGGAAAGAAGAAAGAGTCGTCTTTCAATTCCTGGAAGTCCAGTCAAAATGATGACTCTGGTAAGGAATGAGGGGTTGACAGATAACTAAACTTGAGGGGCTGGACAAACAAGCTCAAAGCTAAGTGGTTGGTCCAGTTGGGAGACTAATAAAGTTCATACAAACGAACTACCGCCTTCAACAACACATAAAACAAAACAGGTAGCTCGGTGAAAAGCTTCCCTTAACTGGGGCTCGTGAACTAGGGATCATGTACGTAAAGAATGTCAATCTCCATCAGAAAAGAAGAAATAGTCGCCTTCGAATTCCTAGAAGTCCAGTCAAAATGATGACTCTGGTAAGGAATGGGGGGTTGACAGATAACTAAACTTGAGGGGCTGGACAAACAAGCTCAAAACTAAGTGGTTGGTCCAGTTGGGGGACTAATAAAGTTCATACAAACGAACTAACGCCTTCAACAACACATAAAACAAAACAGGTAGCTCGGTGAAAAGCTTCCCTTAACTAGGGCTTGTGAAATAGGGATCCTGTACGTAAAGAATTTCAATCTCCATCAAAAAAGAAGAAAAAATCACCTTCCAATTCCTGGAAGTCCAGTCAAAATGATGACTCTGGTAAGGAATGGGGGGTTGACAGATAACTAAACTTGGGGGGCTGGACAAACAAGCTCAAAGCCAAGTGGTTGGTCCAGTTGGGGAACTAAATTTAAAACCCAATTGGTTTTACTTGATTAGCTTGTCAAAATCACTATTTACAATTAATTATACACAAACAGATTGTTTTCTGCGCCTTTTTCAAGAAATTGACGATTCTCTTAGTATAGAATAGCAATCAACGCAAGGCCAAAATGTAAGAAACTTGACTTGTACCCAAATGACAACAAATAATTCAAATAGTCATACTTTTCAATAAAATACACGAACGTTTAGTCGTAACAACGAATGGTGCATAGCTAAGTGAAACACAACATTGCCTATATAAGCTTCATTTTTTATTACAGTCTCAATTCAGAAAGTCACATGACAATAGTGAATTCACTGATTTACCTTATAGTGAACATGCCATTATTTTGTCCGTATATGCAGATGGATTGTCAAGTCACGTGACTTGGTGCACATGTTTTGGTTTTCTCGATTTTTTGCTCGATTTTTTTATTACAGTGACAACTCATTTCTTATTAATATATGTGGGATTCTCAATTCAGAAAGTCACATGGCAACAGTGAATTCACTGATTTACCTTACAGTGAGCATGCCCTTATTTTCTCGGTATATGCAGATGGATTGTCAAGTCATGTGGCTTGGTGCATAGGCTTTAGTTTTCTCGATTTTTTGCTCGATTTTTTTATTACAGTGACAACTCAACACCAATTTGATACATGTGGGATTCTCAATTTATAAAGTCACATGGCAACAGTGAATTCACTGATTTACCTTGCAGTGAGCATGCCCTTATTTTCTCGGTATATGCAGATGGATTGTCAAGTCATGTGACTTGGTGCACAGGCTTTGGTTTTCTCGATTTTTTGCTTTATTTTTTTATTACAATGACAACTCATCTCTTATTGATATATGTGGAATTCTCAATTCATAAAGTCACATGGCAACAGTGAATTCACTGATTTACCTTACAGTGAGCACGCCCTTATTTTGTCGATATATGCAGATGGATTGTCAAGTCATGTGACTTTGTACACAGGCTTTGGTTTTATCGATTTTTTGCTCGATTTTTTTATCACAGTGATTCTCAATTCAGAAAGTCACATGCCAACAGTGAATTAACTTATTTACCTTACAGTGAGCATGCCCTTACTTTGTCGGTATATGCAGATGGATTGTCAAGTCACGTGACTTGGTACACAGTATTTGCTTTTCTCTGTTTTTTCATTCTAGTGACAACTCATACCTTGTTCGTATATGTGGGATTGTCATGCAGGGGCATCTTTCTAAAGCTGTTCATAACCAACTATATAAACGACTAAAGGTGAAGACACAACCTTACAACTCATTTCGCCCTACGAAATTATCATTCATTTGTTTTAAAAAATTAGCATGGCTACATGGTTCATGGGAGGGAGTGAGAATTGCAGAGGTGGTAGAAACTTGCAAAGGGGTGACAGTTCACGATGAGGAGGGGGAAGGGGATGTGGCGATGCTGAAGACGATTCATGAGAGGGAGTGTGAATACCTATTTTAGATTATGCTTGTGGTTATCATGATAGGTTTGGGAAGCGACATTTTTTGATGCCCAAGTATTATCCAGTTCAAGGAGGTTCATGTAGTATTATCCAGTTCAAGGAGGTTCATGTATGGATCCATCAGATAATCAAACAGGATATGGTTTAGCAGACGCTAGACTTCTGAAGTAGCCCGTACTATTTATAAAGCGAGTGCAAATGGAAAGATTATGTCGGGAAAATCGACTGAAGGTGCCAAAAGCACGTTCTGTTGAGATCCAAAAGGAAGATCCTGATAATGTTGATCGACTATGTGAAAGACTACAACATGAGATTCTCAAATGTGCCGTAGGTTAGCCCGCGATATATAGCTATACATAGTTAAGAAGGATGCCCAGAAGAACAGAACAGAACAGAACCAAATGTTGCGGCTATCAAGGGTATCATGAAGGATCCTGAACTTGTCTCTGACGCTGAGCTTTCGGATTATTCAGACTTTGAGCCACCTACCGATTTAAGCGCGAATTAGGTATTAATGTCTACACTTCGGCAATATTAGGCCATGCATTAATATGTAATGTCTGTGTTAGACTAAGTGTTTCCGTAATGAGTTTGTCAGATTGTCTGGCTAATATTTGTCTGTCTAACTGTTATGTTTATGTATGTATTGTGTGTTCAGTTCATGGTGTCCAGAATGTATTGTCGTCAGAGATTTATGTCTGTACTACCTATGTATTTTTGTAGGAGACTTATGTGTTTTTTCCTTAAGGTTTTCTGAATTACATTTTCACCTTCTAACCCAAAACAAAGACAACAGAAAAAAAAATTATTTAAATGAAAACGGTTTTAGTAAAGCCAAAACAAATTTCTGAATAACACCTTTTAACCCAAAACAAAAACAAGAGAAAAAAATAAAAAAATAAAAAACTTTACATGAAAACGGCTTTAATAAAGCGAAAAGAAATTTCTGAATTACATTATCACCTTCTAACTCAAAACAAAGGCAAAAGAAAAAATATATATATATTTAAATAAAAACGGCTTTATTAAAGCCCAAGCAAATTACTGAATAACACCTTCTAACCCAAAACAAATAGAAAATAAAATAAAAAAAAATTTACATCAAAACGGTTTTACTAAAGGTCAAAAAATTTATGAATTACATTATTACCTTCTAACCTAAAACAAACACAAGAAAAAGCAAAATGAATTTACTTTAGTAAAGCTAAAAAAAAATTCTGAATTACACATTCTAATCCAAAATAAAGAGAAAAGAAAAGAAAAAAAAAAATTAACATGAGAACGGTTTTAGTAAAACAATTTTAACCCAAAAAATTATTCTGAAATATATTATCACCAAAACAATGACAACAGAAACAAAAAAAAAAAAAAAAAACCCAAAAAAAAAAAAATTTCTTCTTCAGAGTTCAGTTAAACTGAAACTAAATAATTTGGGTATTTATGTAAAAAGTATGGTTCACAAACACGCTTTCACAAGAAAAATTTTTTTGCCAAAAAGCGTGGTTCGTAACCACGTTTTCAGAAGAAAAAAAATTTAACCTAAAAGCGTGGTTCATAACAACGATTTCAGAAGAAAATTTTTTTTGGTTAAAAGCGTGGTTTACAACCGCGCTTTCAAAAGAAAAAAAAATTTAAGTTAAAAGCGTGGTTCAGAACAGCGATTTCAGAAGAAATTTTTTTTATTAAAAGCGCCTTTTATAACCGCACTTTATTAATTAAAAGAGCGTTTTGTAACTACGCTTTTAAGACTTCTGAATTTTCACGCAGGATAGATACACAAACGTTGAAAGCGTGGTTGTGAACCACGTTTTAGTCTATTTTGAGAATTTTTTTAAAACTAGGCTTAATTTGAAAATTGAATTGATAATTTGGCATATTTAGGAAAATGGCCCCGGAAACCCTGGTGCGTAGTACACCATAGTGTGATAATTAGTCCGAGCTGTCTAACTTGCACCGTAAATTCTAGAACCGCATTTCCCAATCCTTCACCCACTGGAATTATCCCAATCTACGACTGCGTCGCTCTCTCTCTCTTCCAGAAGTCCACCGCCATGAACACTGTTTGGTAAGCTGTTGATGCTCTCTGCTACTCACTCACCCTCAATTCTTCAATTCAATCAATTACATCTACTAGCTCATTTTTGCCCATTTATTTTCATCATCATGGATTTTATCTGATTTTTGGCCAGTTATTTCACATAATTCTTAATCCCCTTTTTGTATGTTTATCTTCGACAATTCTCTGCTATTTTTTTCACTTGTTAAATTGTTAATGTATAAAATCGTTTTGCAGAAATTCATCTACTTGGAAGCACATGATTAGGATTGGGATCTGTGTATGTATATTCTTCTTTATCAGTAGCTTATGCCTCAGTTTAGCTGTTGATTATGCCCCTGTTCTGTTTGGTGCCTGCTTATAATTTATTTATTTATTTACGCTGTATTTGATTGGGCGATTTGAGAAGAGATTTGAAAAATAAAATAGAAAAGGTAAGTGAAATATGAATAAAATATATCTCCCCAAATCCCCCAACTAAAGCATAAGGAAATTTATGGCATAGTGTTTGTTGTAATTTTTTTGGCTTATAGTTTTTGAGAGAAAAATAACTTAAATAAGCTGAAAAAATTGAATAATTTGGTAGCTTTTTTTATTATCAATTTTCAGGTATAAAAAAAGCTTCACAGAAGAGGGTCAGTGTCCAATAATTTATGCATCTGTTGCTAATCACTATGTTGAAACAATTAATAGCTTTGTAATTATATATACCTCAGCACTTCACTGGTTAATTTTTTAGTGTTTAAAGTTTTATATTTAAATGGTATTTGCTAGTGGTTTGCTTTTTCTGTTTCATGTTTTCACTTTTGTTTCACTATTGGTTCCCATAGTCGCATAACAAATCTGGTCAAGTATTATTTTTCTTCTTTACTATTTGCACACAAACCTGACCAGTTTTTTTGAATGTTTTATTTTTTTGCACACAAACTGGGACTTAAGCCAATTGACTATTATTTTATGGCCTCGTTTGGGAAGTGGCTATTTTAGTAGGCTATTTGGCTTTTTGACTATTTTAGTAGGCTATTTTAGTTTTGTGTTTGGGAAGATGAGATGAATTTTTAGTTGGGTTCTTGTATTGGAAAGTGTGTTGAAATGATGTTTAAATTTAAAATGACAAATTTGTCTCTAACTTTTTATTTTTTAAATTGATATAAAGGGGCAAAATGGTAATTTTTCCATTGATGTATCATTTTCCGGCTGTGACAGTGTAGGCACAGCCTACACTGTCCAGCGCAGTGCCTATTTTTTTTTTTTTTTTTTTAAAAAACCTGTGAACAGTGCCACTTTTTGGCTTATTTATCAAATGAGGCTATAATAGCCTCGTTGGCAGCTTCCCAAACAGCGCCTATATCTGATAACATTATTGAATTGAAGTATTGTATTGCGAATAATTGTTTTTGACATTTAAGCTTCATTTCTGAAAGGGTGTTTGTGCCAAGCTTTCTTCTGTTGGGTATTTAATCTTTTGATAGTTAAGCATCAATGTCTTAATTATCTTCAATAGGCGGTTGATGTGCCTTTGAGTTTTTAGCAGCATGGAGGCCAAAACATGTTTGGGAATGGGCTTCCATGTTCTGTTTTTTAGTGATAATTTGTTGTTGCAGAAATCTTTGATGACTTAAACATGAGCTATTATCTTGATGAGTAGCATTAGCTTAGGTTTATATTGGGCCATTCTAATCCTTCTGAAGTTTTTTTAAGGTATAATGTTTGTAAATTGTGGTCTTTGAACTCTGAGCCGTTGGATGCAGAATGAATCAGTTCTTTGGTCTTGATATTTAAGGTTTGTATTGAGAGACCTGGTAGATACAAAATGTCAAATGGTGGAAACACACATTGGTGTCATCAATGCAGGCATCCAGTTCGGCTTCGAGGTCATAACTTGGTTTGCCCATATTGCAATGGGGGCTTTGTGCAAGAACTGAATGAGGTGGTGGACACAGGACAACATGATTTCTTTGGATTGCATTCAGAAGATGATTCTGACTTTGGATATATGGAGCCATTCGTTGACCCAAGATTTGGAATTATGGATGCTTTTGCAGCTGTTATGAGGCAGAGAATGGCAGGAAGAAACCCAAACTTCGACGTTAGAGCAAGATCCGGTGTAGTTCCTGAAAACAGCACACCTTTTGGTTCCAGCCCGTGGTTGGTATTTCATGGACAAGTCCCTGTCAGGGTGACTGATAATGGGTTTGATTTCTTTTTTAATGGTGGTCCAAGAACTGGGCGGAGGCGAGCTGGTTTTGGTGATCTTTTCACAGGACAAGAATTGGAAGAATTGATTGAACAGCTTACTATGAATGATAGGCAGGGTCCACCTCCAGCACCTCATTCATCAATTGAGGCTATGCCCACCATTAGGATCATGCAGAGGCATCTTAACACTGATTCGCACTGCCCAGTCTGTAAAGATAAATTTGAGCTGGGATGTGAAGCAAGGGAAATGCCATGTAACCATATCTATCATTCGGATTGTATTGTTCCTTGGTTGGTTCAGCACAACTCTTGCCCTGTCTGTCGACTTGAGTTGCCACCACTAGGTTCTGGTTTTGCTCATAGTAGTAATCCAATATCGAGTGGTGGTGATGGAAGCACCACCATGAGCACTGGCGGTGACAGCAGCAGTAGGGAGAATGGTGGGTCAAATCAGGGAAGGAGGAGTCCATTATCGTATCTGTGGCCTTTTCGCTCATCCAACCAGAATGGTTCTCACCATGGTGAAAGTGGTGGAGGAAGTGGCTCAACAACCACTTACGAAGAGAACAATGGGATGAATTACCCTCAATGGCCTTACAATTACTGATAAGTTTGTCTCTATTGCTGCCTTTGATTTGCTTTGTTTTGCTTTCTTTGTTGTGTGCCTTTCTAATCAACTCAATTTCCAGATATACTTTGGGAAATATGTCAGTGGAGTGCATGTAGAAATATAATTTGCCGTGCAGTTATACGAAAGTGGTTAGTTGCTTTTGATAATCAGTTTGTTTGTTGTTTCCAGTTAAGGCTACTTTGTTTATTTGCTGCTTTGGTTTTCATTTTGTTTGATTCTAATTTTTTTTTTTTCTTTTTCCTGTGGATTTGTGGTTGGGAAATGATTTCATGTTGGTTGTTGATATCCTGTTTCAAGGTTTTTGATGTTGTTTCATCGTAAAAGTTGAATGTGCTTGCTAGACATCTGAAATTGTGTAAATGATGGCCTAAACGGAGTGGGAATGACTCATCTTCATACAACTATTTTTTATATTCTCTCGTCCTTTTGTGGGCCTTTCTTTGGGACCACAATGATGATATAAACTGTTTATCTCATAAATCTCATAGTGAAAATTGTTTATGTAAAAAATTAATTTAATTCGATATTAATGAATAGATTAACAAGTTATATTTTGTTTTATAAAATGAAAGATTTAAGTTTAAACTTAATAGTTGTTATCTATTTTAAAAAATAAAATGTAATTTATTCATATGCCTAGTGATGTCTGATAAAATTGATATTTTGTAAAATTCATTTAATTACTAGGCTTATGAGATGAATAGTTTGGATTATCGTTGTAGTCTCGAAATAGGGCCCACAAAATAGCAAAATAGAGTATAATAGGGTATGGAGAATAGTGGTATGGAGGGAAGCTATTTCGGAGGTGAATAGGCCCATTAAAATTTTGTTCTATCAATTGATTAAGATGAACATATTTCAACAACATACAGAATGTAGAGAAGCTAGGTACACTCTTGAGTTGACTCACAAAATCTCATGATACTCTCACAACTTTGAAAGACACAAACAATGAAATTGTACAAGAAAATCTTCAATAAATCTTCTTTTCAAACTTTTGGACCTTCAAGCTCCTTGATTTTATAATGGAACAATTCTGAGAAAATCTTCCAAGAGCTAAAAAATTGTGCACAAGAGTTGACAACCATATCCACAAAATCAAGATTGAAAATCAAATCACATATGCGGGATTATTAATCGCGACTGGGATTCGGCCTTTTATTCCGCTTATGCAGAACTATATTGGACCTTTAATTCAGCTTATGTTGTTCTGGAGGAAAGTGTAGAACAAGGGAGTTTATTTACGCAAAAATTAGAGAAGGCCCAAGCTAAGGCATGATTCTTATTTTTAAGGACACCCCTAAAAACCTCGTCAAACAACAAAGCTAAGGTCTTAATTCTTTATCTTCCTGAAATGAAGCGACAAAAAATGCGCATTATTTAGGCAGTGGAATCGCACCGCCATCTTTTACTGCCAAGAAACACATACCTAAGAACCCCTCTGATTGCCAAAGTTAAGGCGACAGTCATCATTCTCTTCCCCTGAAATGGCACGAGAAATTCGGTGCGCAGAAGATGTGCATTTTTTAAGTGGCAAAATTGGGGTCCCCTCTCTTACAAGCAAGTACACCCCTGAGAACCCCCATAACACCAATACTAAGAGGCTAGATGTTATCCTATCTCCTAGAAATAGTAAGCTGAATTTTGTACAAAAAGTGACAGAAAACATGCATTTTGTAAGAGGCGTGAAATTGTGCCCTCATCAAGAAGTATACCCAAGGATCCTGTCAAGCAACAAAGCTAAGGCGCTAACTCTTATTCTATCTTCCTAAAACGGTGTGAATAAAAAGGAAAAGAAAAAAAACAGAGCACATTGTGTAAGCAAGGGAATCCCATCACCATCTTTTACGAGTGAGAAGTATAAAGCCCAAAAAAACAGACCCTATGAGGGCCAAAGTTAAGGCACTAGTTGTTATTTATCTTGGCAAAATGGCATGACAAATTTTGTGCATATAAATGTGACATAAAAGAAGCACCTTTTTTAAACAGTGAAATGACAGTCACATCTCTTATGGGCAAGTACATCTCCAAAGCCTCTTAGCCCTTAAAATTGAATTCTACACCAGTGTAGCTTTGCTGGATGCTTTTGATCAATAGAAGACATCAAAAAAATTAAAAACCACCAAGATACGAATAGTAATTCTCTTCCTGAAACGACACGACATAGAAACATGCATTTTTTAAGTGGTGGAATCGCACCACAATCTCTTACAAGCAAGATGTACGCCCCAAGAACACCCAAACACCAAAGTATGAGCTCAAAATATCGACAATGACAAACAAACATCATTCTATTCAAACCAAAACAATACCCAGAATCTACCTCGTGAAAAGATCGTCTTCCTCATATGAAAAAATCTTCCAACGGAACAAAGGGAAAAGCAAAACCCTCACACCTCACTAGGAGATTAAAGGTTTAAATCTTGCCACACACCCACAACAACAACAACAACAACAAAAAATAATAAAATAAAATACACTTGAATTTAGAAGAACTCCATTGAGAAACAATCGGAAGGTAACTTAATACAACTTTTTTTTATAATGAGACATGGTTCCCATGGAAAGACAACAGATATGGAACAAGAAAGAAAAAGAAACAGCTAGGAATCCTTTGTTGATCCTATAACTGATTGAGTTGAGATCAGAGACTGTTGGAGGGTACAAATCATACCAACTGCACATCAGTGGGAGGAGAGGGAACTATCTACATTTTTCTAACAAACAACACACAAACAATTGGTGGAAAGCCATGACCGTCTCTAACTCAATAGGGAACGTAGAAAAATGTTTCCTAGAAAGTGAAGGAAAAACAAAAGAATAAACAAGGTACTCTGGGAAAAAGTTGACATCATCATCCCCACTTCAAGATGAGCAATGCTTTACTTCATTTCCTGCATGTCCTCCTCAGTTTTCCAAACCACGTCCTCGAGGCATGTTGAAAGATTCTTATAGAACTGCAATATGAAAACACCAGAAAAACATTAACAAACGATAAAATGAAAAATTACAATCAAGTTTTACAATAGAGTCCACACAACATATATTATTATTGAAATATATTAACTAATATTTTAGGGCTGCAAACGAGCCGAGCTGAGCTTTAATATGTTTGGGCTTGTTTATTAAGATTTTAACGAGCTCTAGCTCAATTTGAAAGATAATAGTGCCTATCGCCAGAGCTCTTTTTTCGCTTCCACCGCTTCTTAGACTTTTTTCTCAGCTATGGAAGCATAAAATTCAATGCCAGCATTATCACCCTATTTTAATCTCATTATATCAAAATTTTGAATCTCATTAAATCTTTTCACACGGTATTAACTTAAATTATGAGCACCAACGTGACTGGCCCTGTCAACTAGATTCAGCCTAAACCCTAAATCACATTTTAAAAAATAATCAAAATTGAACTACCAGGGGGACTACATTAAAATAATATTTTCCATGGATATCCAACCCAATTCATTTTGAACAATTAAACTTAGGGCAATAGGAAAGCCACATAACAATTGCCCGTCTTTTAAACAACACAAGGTACACGATATATAAAGGACATTGCCCATTGTTGGTCCTCATAAACATGGAGAAGCAAATAAATTGTAATATTAAAAAAAAAACCTTAGTGGAAGAAGGTACCTTGTGGAATTCCAAAGTGTCACCTTTTGCTTTTCGCACCTCAACCATATGAAGAGATGGTGCCACTTGAAACACCTGATTGAGCCATAAGAGATCAATAAAAATGAAACTTATGATCAAACCACCGACTTGATTGATTAAGCTTTGATTTCTTTAACATACCTCAGTAGCAACATTAAGGTTTCCTTTTCTCCCAGCTTTCACATTTTGAAGCCTCATCTGGAAGGAAAAAATAAGAAGCATGTTATTTCTTTCCTCTATAAGAAGCATGTTATTTCTTTCCTTTTTCCTTTCATTGATTCTCTCCTTGTTATTAGCGGAAGAGGGGTCCACACATTTTTCTTAAAAATACTTAAATGCCAGTTCAACTTTGACTTGACACCTTGTAGTTTTTCTTGTGAACATCAAAACCAAGAGGTTTTGCAGCTTCTTCGATCTTGCTGATTATCTCATTAGCAGGACATTTTGATGTGAACCTTGTTTCCCTCTTAAATCCCTGTAACAGTAGCATTAACACCCGATATGCAAGATGATAAGAATTGATTCTGTAACTGGCAAGTAAAATTTCAAACTACAAATGAAGATAATTCATATCATCTACCAGTTATTTTTATTAAGGTATCTGATTTCAATCAATGGACCCACTCTGATAAGTAATTGCTTTCTTTTGCCAAGTTGCAACAAACAATGAATCAAAAAGACAAACACTCCACATCTATATGATGGCTTTTAACTGCCTCATGACTACAAGATCAGATAAATTGAACATAAAACTTCTCACCGAAGTTCCTATAATGTTAGTATGCGTAAGTTTATCCTCTTTATGCCAAAAGCTTCTATAATTTCAAGTCAATGATGAGGATTGAGCCAAACTTGAAAATTAAACCGTGTAGTCAAGTGTGAATTATATACTAAAAGAAAGTATTTAATAAGATATCAAATTTTTAATGACTTGGGAAATGTCTAACTGGTAAAAAAAAGAAAGTATTTTAGTACTTATATATCAAAATAAAAGAGAAATTCAAAATTGCAATAATATAGAGACATTAAGTTACGCAATAAAACTGTGAGTGATAGAGCATCGCTTAACAGTTATAGCAACACTCTTAGATAATCGATTTCAATTTATGCGTGGTAGATTAATAGTATAGAAAGAAGCGGAGGGATCTTTATATAGTTTTTATAGATTTAGAAAAAACTTACGATAGGGTGCCTAGAAGTATAAATATGATGGGTGTTGGAAAAAAATGATGTCATTAAAGGGAATATTGGTATAATAAAGAACGTGTATAATGAGATTGTGACTACAAGTAGGTCATCTACAGGAGAAACTAATGAATTTCCAATCACTATAGAATTACATATAGGGTCAGTTTTAATTCTTACGCGGACGAGTACTTCTAGCACATTATGTGATTGACAAAAATCAAAAAAATAGAAAGGAAAATATTATAGAACTATAAAGCTAGTGATGCTCTATGGGACAGAACGTTTAAGCAACTAAGAAATGATACATTCATAAAGTGAGTGTAACTAAAATAAGAATACTTATATGAATGTGTGATAAGACTACAACATATTATTTAGAAATGAATATTTTTACAAAATGGTAGGACCAGCACCAACTGAATATAAGTTGAGAGCAAACATACTTACATGGTTTGTACTCCCCCCATCCCATTTTGATAATCCCTTTAGAAAATTCTAACTTTTTTAGTGGACATGTAATCATTGCATTTGAATTCAAATTTTAGAGTACATATTCCAATAATGCCCTTCTCTTTTCATTTTTAATATATTTCTAGTCATTTAAAAAGGGTAGTTTTGGAAAACTAAATATTTTTTACTTTTTCAAATAGGACTAACATTTTGGGACATCCTAAAATGGGAAAAAGGACTAAAAAAATCGATAGAGGGACTATCAAGAAGAGTTAAAGATGCAATGATAAGAAAAAGTGATACGATCCCCATAAATGGAAAATGTTAAAGGGAGGGGAAGACCTAAACAGACTAGGAATGTGATAGTAAAAACAAATATGAATTTATTTAATCTAACTGAAGATATAGCCCTTGATAGAGCTAAATGACGAAAAGAGATTTATGTAGCTGATGCAACCTAATTGGGATACAAAGCATTATTCGGCTTGGATTGGTTAATTAAGTGCGACTCAATTGCTTTAAAATTTTCAAAGATTTGTATGATGGGTAAAAATAAAAGAAAACATATAGGAAATAGATAGATTACATTATTCTGGTTTCCTGGAAACGGGATATAATATGCCACCTAGCATTGTTTCTAATCAAGAAATCAAATTGGATAGTCTACTGCTTAATAGATATTCAGCTGTTCAAAGGTTAAAAGGTGCAACAATAATAAAAAAGAAGCAAACCTGCTCTACATCAAACAAATTCCCAAGGTTGAGTCCCTTTGACATAGAAATCAACTCAAATGCATTCATGGCTACTGGCTGTTCTTCCTTCTTCTCCATCACATGATGTTCCTGTTGTAGATTTTAAAGCATACACTTTGTGAAACAACACTTTTGTGAAGTTACATTACAGCATTTTCTTTCAAATAAATACAAATTCTTCTTTAAGTTTGGAGAACTTACCTCTGAATCCCTAAAAACAGCTTCGACATCATCCAAATTTGTATCTTCTTTTTCCTCAAACACAGGTGGCTTATAATCTCGTTTAAACCATTCATCTTCCAAAATTTCAGGAATAGTGATGCGCTGCCACAGGATGCGTTAAATTGGACAGGTAAAACCAAAAAAAAAAAATAATACTACGTAAAAGATAAGCCAGAAACTACATTTCACTTCAGTTATAAACTATTAATAATAAATATGCTGAAGGACCAAGTAACTGGCACAAGTATAATCTAGCCAAAGCTTGTACATAACACCTAAGCAACAAGAGGGAAGACCATGCTTACGAAACAAAATATGAAATTTTCTACAACAAATTAACGTCAATCATGAACATAGCTAGTTACAGAAATTTACAAAGGAAAGAAAAAGTGAACCAAATTAAACAAACATCTAAGCTTCGATTTCAATCTTGCACCTCCAATGGCACTAGAACTAGGTTTTACTACTGAATTCAGTTACCAGAGTGTATGCAAGTTAAAAAATGCTCAAGTCAGAAATAAAGCCACAAATTCATCAAAAAAATGTGAACTTAAGAAACTTACAGTCATAGGGTTGGGATCCAAGATTCGAGTTATCAATTTCATGGCACCAAAAGACAGCCAATGGGGGCAAGTAAATTCAGCCGCTGAAATCTGCAAACAGACCCAAAGAAACTAACAAACGCATAATGGAGAAAAATGGTTGAACAGTGCCATGAAATCAGTACAATGCTCACTTTTTTATACAGGTTGATAAGATTAGAATCATCAAAAGGCAAGTAACCTGCAAGCAATACAAAGAGTATGACTCCACAAGACCACAAGTCTGCAGTTGCCCCGTCATAGCCACGATCATTGAGGACCTGAACAGAAAGACAACACATCACCACAGACACAAGAACAAAAAGGAAGAAAATGGATTATACCCGAGGAAAACAAGTACGCATAATTGAACAACCATCCATACCTCGGGAGCGACATAGTTTGGCGTTCCACATGTAGTATGAAGTAGACCATCATCCTGCCAAATCAATCTCAAAATAAGAACTACTTCCCAAATACTCTAGAAGATGTCAAAAGTAAGTTAAGAATACAGACATGTATTTTGTAGATGAAAAGGAAAAGACCATTAGAAATTCACTTATTTAAACTTAAGTAATCAGACCTGAAATGGAACAAAAGAAACAAAGTGCTCTACATGCCTCTGCAGTGGGAAAACACTTTATGCCAAGAAGATATCCAAGAGAATTCATGAATGCCCACTTAGGTGATGAGTATGTGGGTTTGTACTTATTTTAATTTTAATTTTTTTGGATAAATATGTGGGTTTGTACTTATTGGCTCTGGCATGGGTGAGAATGTGCGTGTTTCTTGCATATGAAACACACTAGAAGATTTTTTGTTTTTTTTTTTTTAAAAAAGGAACAGATGAATAGTAGACGATTTGAGCAAAGAATTATGAAGGCACAAGCCATGATTCCTTGCATAGCCTCCATTGGTGATCTTATGTGAAACAAATCATTGGATTGTCAACTAGATTGAGGGAAGTATTAGTTCATTTCAATGGTTAATAGACAAGTACCAAAAGATTCTCAAAAACTACTTATGCTTTCGTGAGCTTAAAGAACCATCGGAATTGTGATAACATTGGCTACATTTAATTACTCATGCTTATCAGCAAGCATTATTGTTTTTAGGATCTGAATTTGTTATCCATTCAATGGAAACTGTTGTTGGATACTCTCTAAGTAAGTTCTTAGTTGTTTGAACCCATCTAGCAAAATCATATTCGCAGTCCATTGTATTCCAACTTGTTAGCCCCAAGGTTTTATAAATACATTATATATTGATTTTGATAATAACAATGTGATTTTAAGAATATATTTAATCCATTTAATACTATTCCAAATTCTTGAGTTGATTCACATTGTTCTTATATCAATTGATTTCTTTGTGGAACTAACTTTGTGTTTGAAAAGTTTTGGAATTCTAAATGTTTGCTTTGAAGGTGTCAACCCCGTATTGTCGGCACTATGTTATGAATTTTTTGAACTTAAGGTGTCAAGCTCTTCTATGAAGGTGTTGACCCCCAAAAATCAGTGCATAGTGGACTTTCTCACAGATAAGCAAAGTGTCAACCCCCTACTAGAAGGTGTCAACTAGATCTAGAAGTGAGATTTTTTCCAGCCCAAGGCGTCGAGCCTTGTATCAAGGCGTATACTACATTTCCCAGATTCACCCAGCAATACAAGATGTCGACCTGCCACAGAAAAGGTGTCGACTACATGATCTGAAGCTGTCAGGAATTTCTTTTCAAACCAGGAAGGTGTAGATCCCTTATCAGGTGTTGTCAACCCCCAAACTTGCAAATTTGAGCAGGAACTTTGAACTTCAAACGATTATTTTTGCATTTAATGCACCTAAATAAAACTACCTTAAATGTTTATAATTCATTAAGGAACCATAAAGGAGGTCAATACTCACAAGAAGACAAAAACAATCTTCAATCCTTCAAGCTATCAAAGATTCAAGTTAAGATCTTACGTATTTCACTTGTCCTTTTGATCTATTGTTCTTCATGGTTGTAAATCTACTCTTGGGGACTCACTACTCAGGTTTTTACTCTCATTTATTGTTTCAATCATTTGTCAAAGGGTTTGAATACCTTAGGTTGGGAAACTTGAGTATTTGGGGGAAATATTTTATGGTTCTTGTATACCCAAAAGCAGGGGGAATCTGTAACAAAAAAAATATTCAAATATAATTAGGTGAAAAAGTAATAGAAGGTCTTGAGGTCTTGTAAGCACCCAGAAGCTTGTTAGTTGTATTACTATTTCAAATAATGGAGAAACTCAAGGAGAAGACTAAGGAAGTGGACATAAGCTTGGATTGAGACAAACAGCTATACATCATGTGATTATTTCATTTCATTCTACTCTAAATTTAGATCTACTTTCACATTTGCATAAATCCTTGATTTTGTAAAAATGTTTGTTAAAACCCCCCGCCCCCCCAACAGAAGATATATAGTGGGAACTTTCAGTAATTGTACTATGTTATATACGTTGCATAAAAATTATTATTGCCGCCAAAGCAAATTAAAAATATATAAATAATAAGTAAATAAATTGATGAAGAAACATGAAGAAAGCTTTGCACAATTAGAGAATTCAAAATGTCAAAAATTACCCGGACTTGCTGGGACAGAGCACTTAATCCAAAATCAGAAACTTTCAGGTTTCCATATGTATCCAACAGCAAATTTTCTGGCTGCACCAAGAACCAAAATTGGGGGGACAGGGAATGAATAATACCTTGTATAGAAGGATGATCAATTCAAACTATATACATTTGGAATTGTCAACATGTGCAAAAGTGACACAAGTACCTTCAAATCTCTGTGGAAGACACCCCTACTATGGCAATAATCAACAGCATTGATAAGCTGTTGGAAATACCTCCGTGCTTCATCTTCTCTCATTCGTCCATGGTTTACCTTCATAAATGATATTCTCACACAACGTTACAGATAATTAAGCAATTAAAGTTACAAATCATATAGTGCAGCAATAACATGTAATATTAAGCCGAAAGGTAAAAAACCTTGCATAAAATGGCTCCAAACCCATTAAAAATAGAGAGGAAAAAACAATAATATGCATTCAAATGCAAACAGTAAACTGACTTACAATTTTGTCAAAGAGTTCTCCCCCAGTTACAAACTCCAAAACAATAAATATCTTGGTCTTGCTCCCCATTACCTGAAGAGAAATAAAATTTGAAGTGAGACAGAAAATTTCAACAGGTTTTTCACAAATTATTTTATGATAAGAAATGAGAACTCATCAAGTGTTGTTTAAAGTGATAGTTGAAACAACGCTAGTTTGCTTTCCAATCAAGAGTTATCCTTCAAATATGCAACTACGGTAGTTATTTACCTATTATATAAATTACATATATTCTAAGAAGAGCTTATTTCACATGCAAAGTAGATGAGCTATAAGACAGTAATTCAATACAGATTATATAAATTACATATATTCTAAGAAGAGCTTATTTCACAAGCAAACTAGATGAGTTGTAACACAGTAATTTAATTTAAAATTATATAGTTTAGTAAATTAGTATTAGAGTCTAATCAAGAATAAGTAAATATTTTACCCCACCACTACACAATTGTATCTTTGCCTAAATGGTACAATAAGAATATTCCTTCACTAAAGGCTTGCCCTAATGGTGCACTTCCGCACATTTTTATTACAATTTTACCTTAACATCAAATAACAATTTTGTCCCCATCCTTATCCTCCCACCCCGCACCCCCACCAAGTCTAGCTGGCACCCTTCCCTTGCGATCAGGCCTAGTAGACACCCTCCTTCCGCCCACAACCACCCCTCCCCAGCCCATCCCTTCCCAGCTACCCCCATCCCTCCCTCAGCCATTCCCCAGCCTCACCACCCTTGCAGCAATGCCACCCCCACAACTCCGCCATTCCTACTCCCGCAACCCCCAGCTGACATAGAGAGAGAATGGGTTGAGCACAAGAGAGAGAAGGGGGGAGGATCGCAGTGGTGCTCAAGAGGAGTTGGAGGGCGGGGAGTGCTGGGAAAGGGATGAGGATTGGTGGGTGGGCTGGGCATGGCAGCCACACCATCAAAGGAGGCGGTGGTGGTGGTGGTGGTGGGTGGTGGCTAAGGTGGAGAAAGGAGTAGCCCGTAATAGCCACATAATCTTAAGCAAATATCATTGAGGGTGCAAAGAAAGGAGTAAAATTGCGAATATGGCAAGGTTCAAGAAAAATAGGCGGTGATGTAAGTTAATATTCAAATATAATATAATCTGTAACAAAAAAAATATTCAAATATAATTAGGTGAAAAAGTAATGAAATCTTGTAGAACTTAAAGATTGAACATTCAAAACATGTATTGATAAGGTTTTTACTTAAGATTTATATAACTAGAAAATAAAAAGAGAAAATAGCATTATATACAAAATTTATAAATAAAAAAAATTAAAAAATAGAAGTGTAACGGTCATAATGGCTGTAACGGTGCTGTAGCGGCAATGTAATGGCCATTACGGCCTTTACATAATGGCAGTGGCCGTTACAGTTGTGAATTTCTGTCACACTATTATAGCGACCATAACAGGTGGCGGTAACCACAACAACCGTTATGTAATGTTTGCGATCGTTTTTTAAAACCTTGTCAGGGAGCAATTTTGGCAACTAAGAGTCCAAAGAAATGGGGGGTCCAAAGAAAAAGAGTGGGGACAGATAGCAGCACTATTTCTTGTATTATATATTTGATTATTCAATAATAAACTGAGAGATTTTCCTCTCCAAATTTTGGTTAACAGTTAAAACATTCATTAGAATTCAATACAAAGCTGCATGCATATTTCCAGGATATTGTAATTAATCTGAATTACAATAGGAAACAATGCTCTGTTGGACATTAAACTGATTTCAACTATTGCTAGTAATAATTTTCAGCACAGAAGAGAATGTGTGAACTGTGAATTGAAGTTGGACACATACAGGAAAGAAAGAGAATCGTATAAAGTACAAAGAGACCTAAGACTTTAGATAAATAGAATGCTCGTAAGAAAGACACAATATAACAGAATGAAGAAGATTTCGGGGAAAACTGTCAAGTTGCGTCAACAATTGAAGTTATATTTAGAAAGCAACAATATTGTAATTGTTACAGAGTCTTGGGTAGAACTCAACCCCAAAAACTAGCTCAAGAGGTGAGAGTTCCCTCACTCTTAGGCGATGTGGGACTGCGCTTCACACCCTCCCTCATGCCCAGTGTGCTCATTCGGCAGCACCTGCAGCATGTAGGCTAGGGACACGCATCCTACCCATCCCTAAGTACTTCGGCTCTAATACCATGTTACACGGTCTTGGTAGAACTCAACCACAAAAGCTAGTTCAAGAGGTGATGGTGTCCTCACGCTTATATGCTTAATATTATTTTAGTACTTGGGCGATATAGGACTCCGCTTTATAGCAATTATGCTGTGTAATTAGTACAAAGATAGCAGTCAAAATAAAAACCTCCACCACACACACGTACGCACACACACACTGAGAGAGAGAGAGAGAGAGAGAGAGAGACCTCATATAAGCGAACAACATTTGGATGTTTTATCAACTTCATTGTGGCTACTTCTCGCTTTATCTGCATTACATGTAAGAAACCAGATATAATCAGGTTATACCTTCTTTCAACAAAATGTAAAATAAAGACCATAACAGAAGCACACTAAAATATTAAGAAAATGAGAATGTCTTAAGCCATGAAATGGGACACATCACCTATACCCTTTTCAAAGGAACATGTGAAAATAATTATGGAACAAGTGAAGCTACATAACGCCTAATTTTAAATAACTAAATGATCTCAAGATGAATGGAAAGAGAAACATCAAGATTTAAAAAGGGAGAAAAAACCACCTGTTCAGCCATTTTGTGTTTAAGAACTTTCTCCTTGTCGAGGATCTTGAGAGCTACTGGTTCCCCAGTCTCAGAATTCCTTGCAAACTTCACTTTTGCAAATGTTCCCTCACCTATTGTCCGTCCCACCTCATATTTACCCACTAGACGCTTGATTTTAGATGGATTCATACTTGATTTATGGGGGGAAATCCTCTTATGATTACAGTTTTTTAGACTTCTGAAAATCTGCCTGAAATGCATACCAAAAACATGCATTAGAGACCCACGTAATAGCCACATAATCTTAAGCAAATATCATTTAAATCAAGAAAAGACAACAACCATTGCGGTGTACAAAAATAGCTAGCGTTTCACAAATTAGTAAGCATGTCCACAGAAAGGAAACCTAAAGTCTCATAAAATTTTGCAATCCAATCATATACAAGTCAAAAGTAAAAATAATTAAAAACAAAAGTCAAGCCATTGAATTTTTTTAAGTTGAGCATTAAATTTTAGAATACATGTATGCGTACATTAATGCATATTGAACAAGAAGTTTTGGGTCATTGCTTGCATCAGACTAGTATTTCTGTATTAAAATGCCCCTAAACTAAATTTTCTTATCAACTAAAAACGAATTATTTCCACAATTCAAACAACGGAAGTAGGAGCAAAGAAATTAACAATGATAATGGATGGGGATTCCATTTTCAGCTGCAAAACACCAAAAGATATTAAGCACAATAATATTCCAAAGACAGCATGCTGAGTAAAAAGATTTTCCCACTGCCACAATAATAACTCAATCATTGAGACAAAAATATTATTAAAAAATCTAACGTATAATTAGCCAACTTACGGCAGAGCTGGATAACAAAAACAACTTACATAATTAGCCAAATTATTAAAAAAAAAAAAGCCTATGTTCAATCAACCAACCAATACCAGTACCCAAATCATGGATAAGAGAAAACATACCCTTGTAACTTCCAAGAATTAAAAGAAGAATTACTTAACCAATAAAAGGGTTCCAACTTCCAACCCAGAGAGAGAGAGAGAGAGAGAGAGAGAGAGAGAGTTGTAAATCCATAGTTTTGGAATTTCCACAAAATTTATGAAGAAGCACAATAAAAAAAATTAAAAAAAAAAGAAGAAGAAGATAGTTATTTGTATATCTGTGTATGTATTCTGTATTCATCATAGTAAAGTGATCCAATTTCCTACACCATATACAGCTCAAAAATGGAACAGATCAATTAAAACACCACACAAGCATACAGACAGGAGAGGAATATGCAGTGACAATCTCTGGGCCAAAGTGACCCAATTCAACTACAAATTGAAAGATCTTAAGCCTCCAACAAAGGAAAATACCTAAAAAAACTTGTGCAAGAATGAAATTGAGAGTGAAATGAAATCATTAACCCAACACATATTTCCAAAAAGACTAATAATACATGTAATCATATCATACATATTATACCCACAATTCTTCAAATTCACCACAGCCCTGCTAATAATTATGACAAAAACAAGAAGCACATAGATACATATATGAACAAGATGGTGATATATATAGAGAAAGATGAGAAAAAGAAACAAAGGGATATACTTGAAAGCAAAACAGTGTGCCGGAGAAGATAAGAGGAAAGATCTTAGAAGGGGCTAGTGGCGATCATACCAAAAGAGCAGCCTCCTAGTCCGATTGAGTCAAAGTGTAATTGACAGATGTGTGTGTGTGTGTTAGAAAGAGAGAGAGAGAGAGAGCTAGAGAGAGAGGGACTTGTACGGTCTAAAAAAGGCTGCAACTGCAAAAGCAGGGAAAGGAAAGATAGGCAATGCATCTTCTTTTCATTCGTTGGGAATTTATGTCTGGCTGGCTATTGGCCTCATGTGGTCGGCTTGGTAACATGACAACAGTAAAAATGGAAGCACAGAGAGTTAGGAGATTAGGTTTTAAGTTGTCTAATTAATATTTGGTGCAGATTTAATGTTTTTCATTATGTGAATTTTGATTTAAGTGGAATTTGTCTTGAAAAATTGGATAAGTTCTTAAGTTATAGTTTCTTCGTTCGGAAAGACACTCTAGTGATCTCTACAAGGGATGTTACCTTGGATCTGCGGGAGAGTGGGGAAAATTTTTCCGTAACAAAAAAAAAAGAAAAAAAAAAGAGTTGTACTCAGTTCTCGTTTGAAAATATATTATTTTAGTAATTTTTAAAATTTTTATATAAAGATATGAAAAAAATAAATAAAAAATAATATAATAATTTATAATAACTTTTTAACTAAAATGATTACTCCCTAAACAAAGGCCAAGTTTGACATACACAAAATAATCCATCTTTTTATTTTTTTTTCATCACATCGCCTCTCTATATTTTTACACATCTTTTTGTAAAAAAATAGAGAATATATTTTATTTAAGTCATTTTAAATAATCCCAAACTACCATAGGTGATATTTAGTCAAAATTTAATACAATCTTTTTTTGCATCGCTAGCATACTCTAACAACAGGGATATGCTTTATTATTTTTCCTTTATTTTATTTTAAATTAGGATAAGATTAATAATGAATTATTTATTTATTTATTTATTTATTTTCATACTATTAAAGTGGCAAACCACGTTTGCATCAAATAAAAAATTTTGGAAAACGTAGCACACCATGCATGTGTGCTTGTCCTCTTAAATGTCTGGTGGGAACAGCTATTAGAACACTCAACAACCATACGGTGGGGGACAGCAATTAGATCATCTCTAACGTTTCATCAAATTTTGTATTAAATTTGAATTTTGATAAAAAAGTTATTTTTTAAAGCTTCAATGATTTTATCAAATTGGTATCAAAATGAGAATAGAATAAAAAATTCATCAAAGTGAGAACATGCTCCAGATTTCACCATTTCACTGTACGTTACCGTTAGGGTGGGTCAACCGGTCAACCAACCGGTTGTCCGACCTGTAGAACCACCAGTCGACCGGTTCTCTTTCAAATGATAAGTTTAAACCGATCAAAAAATGTTCAAACAGGTAAAAAAAAAAAAATTCACTTACCGATCGACCGGCCGGTCGACCCTTCCCTTTTGATGCATGGTTGGAGCAAGACATATCAGATTGAGAAAATTGATTTTTTTTTACTCAAATTTGATAAAAAAATTTGGTTCACCATTGGAGATCCTCTTAGGGATATGTTTCCGCTTCAATTTTTATTAAGATTTCTTTGGATAATATGTTATTTTAATAATTTTTTATTTTTTTATAAAAAGATATGTAAAAAAATAGAAAGAATAATGTGATAATTTATAATAATTTTTTAACTTTTTAACTAAAATATATAATTGATAAATAAGGCCTAAATATTATTAACTCTTTGAGATTACGTTGGTGAGTTTTGTTCGAAATTTGTCTAATTCATATGGAGGAGACTTTTTACATAAGTTCCGAGATTAGTCAAAATACACAAACTAACCTAGATATTCAGTCATAAAAAAAGTACTCAACCATATCAAAGGTTGATGATGGTTATAAATATTGAGAGCAAGAATTATAACAAGTATAGAAAATGTAGAAAGAGAATTAAACATATAAGATATCAAGAGTTTGCGTAGTTGAATTGGATCTCAACCATATCAAATTCTTGGTATATATAATTTATGTGGGTCTCACATTAATATAATTTTTCATTGAATTGGTTGAGGTTAAAGCACTGAATTGATCAAATTTATAATTTCACTCTTAGAAGCATGACACATTTGTCCATGTGCAAATTTGTCATAGAAAAAAAATGCTAACAATTAGAATCAATCAGACTAATTTGAGACAAAATAAAAAAAATTAGGGTCAAAATATATTTAATTGAAATTATAAGGGCCAAAATAACACAAGAGCAAAAATACAAGGACTAGCAATGTAATTTGTTCAAAATAATGTGCATACAAATTATTGGGTAAATTATGAAGTGTTTTGAGAAGTTGGTAAAAGACTGACTTTTTGATTTTTTGACTTTTTTAGTGACTTTTTTTGGCAAAAAACTGGATTCTTTTTGATAAAAAAAATTGATTTTTTTTGCTAAAAAAACTAAAAGGCCAAAAAGCTAATTTAAGGGAAGTGTCACTTTCATTGTTTTAATTTGAACTCTACATTTTTTATTTTGTTGTAATATGGTTCTTTGGTTACTTACCATTAGAATTTTTAACCAAAAAAAGATCATACGTAAAACTAAAGGGATTAAAATGAAATAAAAAAAAAAAACAAAAAACATAGAAACTATCAGTGTAATGAATAAATTACACTAGTAATCTTTATAATTTATTTTAAATTTTACTTTGACCCTTTTAGTTTTGTTTTGTTTTTTTCTCGTTCAAAATGTTAATGACGCATAACAAATAGACATTATTATAACAAAATTGAAAGTATACGATTTATATTGTTCAAATTAAAATTATAGAGGCTAAAATGATACCTTACTTAAACTACATGGACTAATGGTATAATTTATCCAATATTATTCAAAATAATATGGTGCATCATTTTTGTTTATTGAAAACATTAAATAAGTTTCTATTTATTTTTGGTATAAATGGAAAAAAAATATTAAAAACAAGTGAAAGGGTAATTGACGAGAGGTAATAGCTAAAATTAATAAGGTTGCTATTAGCACATAATTTTTTTCTTAGAACCCCCTCTTTTTCATTTTTTTTTTTAAATTCCAATTTTGTCTAAACATAAAATTCTATTTCTGTCCTCTAACTCTAATTTTTCAAATCATAACCCTAATTTCACCGGCTATCTCTATCACTTTCGGCAGTCACCACTCATCACTTTTCACCTCTGGTGCCGCTATCACCATCCATCATCACTACCTTTTGCGATTCTCATCATCATCATCATAGAGAGAGAGAGAGCGAGAGAGTCACGAAGAAGAAGAGAAACAAAGATCGTTGACTCTTATTGTTATCGCAGCCCCTGTCTCTAAAGCCATTACGATCTACCTCATCATTACTGTAGCCACCGTCGTAGCTCACTACCATCGTAATCCACCTTATCATTACTGTAGCCACCGTCGCAGCCCACCACCATCGTGATGCACCTCATTATTATCGTTACCACCATCGCGATTTCCACTTTTAGATCTAGGGTTTTGAAAAAAGAAAAAGACTTACAAGCCTCCCAACCCTACTCAAAATCTGGGGTTTTGCATCATTAGTAGTGCGCGAGGTAGTGGTGGGTAAAATGGAGGTTGTTTTTTTTTCAAATCAATGAGTTTCAAATTCATTGATATTCTCTTATTCAAATCTAGGACCCAATAAACGTGAGAGAGAGAGCCCTATAGAGATGGAGAAAGTGTGATCGGGATGGAAGGGGGGTTGTTGGAAAGAGAGAGAAGGGGAGGAGTGGGGTGTAAAAAAAAGGGAGGGGTAAAGTTGGTAATATGGTGAGGGTAGAGAAAAATAGATAAAATGAAATTTTGGATAATGAAGGACCAAGGAAATGAGAGGATTCAAAAGAAAAAAAAATGAAGTACGGACATTTGGTAGTCCTCAAAATTAATTGCCAACCATCACTAAAAATGGTGGAAAGTGATTGACAGCACCGATGTTTGTTGGCGATAACCCAAGCAGGTTTTTGGCCCAAGACGTGGTGCACATGATGATTTTACTCTTTCCTTAGCAAATTACTCCTTTTATGTTGATAATTTTACTCTTTTCTTAGCTAATTGCTCCTTTTATGTTGTGTGTAGTTAAAAAAAAATTAAAAAAAATAAAAGATGTGTAAAATTAAGTAAAATATAAAAATATTTTATTTATATTTTAGTTATATATATTTTTTCATTTTAAATCTCTTTCTAAATCTCTCAACCAAACACAAATTAACAACATCATCCTTAATTACTCTCAGTTACTTGGCCCATTGTATCCCGAGCTCAACTTCGACATAAAATTCTGTAATGTAAGTCATAAAATGTCAAAAAAATTCTTTTAGTACAAAACTGTTCCTTATAACAAAGCAAATATTACAATATCCACTCATAAAATGGTGTGCATAGTAATATATTTTTTATAGTGAAAGTTGTAATTTTTTTGAGATAATTTTTATTATTATAATATCCACTCATAAAATGTTGTATTTGGTAAAATATATATATATATATATATATAGTTTTTATAGTGAAATTATTTTTTTTTGGATAACTTTTATTGTGAAACTTATAAATAGTAAAGTTTTAAAGTTAATGAATGACAAATTTCGGTTTTTATTTAAGTTGTGCTTCTTTTTTTTAGGGTTAATTGGTGATAAGTTCATTTTTTTGGGAGGATATAACGTTAGATTTAAGGATTAATCTTTTATGAAGATAAAGATATAATTAATGAAATTATTTGGTGATGAAGATAAATTATTATTTTAATTTTTTTTTTAATTTTAGTTTTACCCCATTGACGCTAAATCATCACTGGACCATCGTCAGACCACCGTTGGCGCCACAAATGTCACCAAAAAGTATTTTTTATAGTGAAAGTTGTAATTTTTTTGTGATAATTTTTATTATTATAATATCCACTCATAAAATGTTGTGCATGGTAAAATATATATATATATAGTTTTTATAGTGAAATATTTTTTTTGGATAATTTTTATTGTGAAACTTATAAATAGTAAAGTTTTAAAGTTAATGAATGACAAATTTCGGTTTTTATTTAAGTTATGCTTCTTTTTTTTAGGATTAATTGGTGATAAGCTCATTTTTTTGGGAGGATATGACGTTAGATTTAAGGATTAATCTTTTATGAAGATAAAGATATAATTAATGAAATTATTTGGTGATGA